CGCGGCTACTCTTCCACTGAGCATTATTGCGTTAATCGCTAAATAACTGCTAGCAATCGAGGAATGTTTGAAAAGAAGAATCGAATGTATTAATTACGAGCTAATCTTAGGATTACTGCGGTCATTTCATCGGGTTACGAGAAGATTCAGTTTTGAACAGCAATTCGTATCATACACGATATATGTTTTAAAAACGACCAACGAAATATGCTTCATATGAAATTCCGATCTCTGCATGCCAACCGTTTGTAAAAATACAATGCGCATTCATTTTTTCATTTAAGTTGTCATTTGAAAAATCGTGCGAATGGAATACATTGTGCAAATATTCAATAACAGAGAAGGCTGTGATATAAAAATATTTGTTTCGGACATTCGAAAAATAATTAAAATTCAATCGACATCCATTAACCGAGTCAACCATTCGTTTTTTAATCGAGGATCGAATGTTTACGACACATTATCGAAAATGGCGACGCTTTCGCTTGCGAAATATCGAGACCGAAGCACAAAATAATTGTACAACGGTTCAACTGATCGCTATCCCGTGTCACCTCGGGTTCCCAGGCGATGACACGATCGGGTCTCATCAATATTAATAAAGAAACATTAAATTGATGTATGCGGGACCGCGCACTTAATAAGGCCACCTACTATTAGAGGATCCCCGTATTGCCCCCAATTACAGGTATCGGCGAAAGAAGACAATTAAAATTCTTGACAAGTCTGTACAAGCGTTTGCAATTAATTCACCCGGGAGGCCTCACCTCGGTACCCGGTGAACGCCATTAAAATTCTCGGCGAGCTTGCGCAAGCCTCTTTCAAATGTAAACCGAAGCTTTCCAGAGCATATCGACGGTTTCGATAACTGCGCGGCGCGCATGCAATACGCTTTTTCCCCGATCCCGACGCGCGTAATTGTGCGCGCGGAAAAAAATTCGTGCCCGCGGACGACACGGGCCCCTACTTATATAGTTGAATCCTATCTACGATTTACGCCGTAGATAGCCCTATATGTGGCAAGGCCAGCTTCCTGTTAAACGGATTTTTTAATTAAGCAAAAGTTCGGACCGCGGGGAGCAGCGTTCACGTACGCGCGCGTCCCTAAAGCTGTGTACGTATCATTGTATCGTTGGTGACTTGAACTGCGTGTATTTCCTAGTATGTACCGTGTGTCCCTTTCATTAGGCGCTACACAAAGAATAAGTGTGTCGTTGAATTAATTATCATCGACGTATGTTATAAATTCTCTCTGATTTAGAATATTTTGTAGGTGTGATGTGTCTGCGTTGAAGTGTCCGCGCGCAGGACTTAATGATAATAAATTCAGCCGCTCTTCGACGATTCTCGTCTACAACAGAATGTCTTATGATGTTAACCATAAATATTAATGAAACGATCTGAAGATTCTTTAATGTATGTATTTTAAACATGAGATATTCAGAGAATTATATATGAACAGACTTTTACTTTTAACATGATTTAAGGACACCCTGTATGCATAATGTATGCATACCTCTTTGAAACTGGTCCTGGTGGAAAGGACATCTATTAAACTATTCAGAACTTGAAATTCTAAATGTAAATTTCATTATACACGACTCGAATGTAGCTCCTGAATTAAGAACGCTAGTTAATTTGTAATCATTGCGTCCTTGTTTATTAAATGTGAAAGGCACTCGGAGATCTTTGCTTCTGCTTTTAGTCCGGCTAAAATGGAATATCGGCAACCGTATATCGAAACCAAATTCTAGATCTCTTGCATCATATGCTCGGGGCCTTATGGTGTAATCTTGAACGACCTCGTTTCTTTAGAAAATGCGATCCATCGCTAAAAACGTGGACATTAACGGAGCCTAATGACGTCCTCACTGCGTTTTTACTATAACGAATACTTTACCGAACAAAATCAATGTTTTCCTTGGTTCTGCTTTTTATTAAATGACCTATGCAAACGGGAACCCGCATGAAAATCCGCATTCTATTAATAACGATCTACGTTTTCAAAACCATTCGACTACTACATCTACTCATAATTTTCAAAACTTACGATCACAATAATCATTTACAAAAATATCAAATACCCTTAATCAACAATTTTTCGCAATCTCCACGCTTCGCAAACCCTACCCACGACACAACATTTAAACCCATACCAATTACTCCACAAAACCAACTGTAAACTCAAGAACTAGAATTCGAATGTGCAAAGTTTACACAAACATCGACCTCAATTTCTTTTCATCAGCATGTCGAACGCTCGCCGGGTTAACCGGTAGATCACGAACGGGCGCAGTGGGACGGATTCTCGTTTCCTACATTTACCTAAATCAACGGGCGACGGCGTTGTACTAATTCCTGCAATTGGTCGGCGCGCCGAATAAATTCGCGTATCGCGTGCGCGTGGCGATTCACGCATTCGCCGCACATTTGGCGCGTACCGTTGGATGAGGATTTGATGACTAGCGGAACGGCACGGGAGCAAGGAGGATCTTTGTTTATAGTTTTCATTAGTTACGCCTAACTTCATTGACGAGTACCAAGTTATCATCGAAAATGAGATAGGAACAGATGAAAAGTAACCAGTCGCACCCACATTCCTCATACTAGACATCAAGTGATCTTTCAACAGTACTGTTTCCAGATGATTTGATGTCTATCGAGACACCGCAGGGTTCAACAGGGCTTCCTCGCTGCGTATTTTCTTTAAAGCTTTAACTGGTTACATATAACCATATTGATGAATAGAGAATTGGCATGAGAAATGACATAAAAACTGACCAATCGGATCCACATTCCTCAGCCTAGCCATCAAGTGATCTTGCAGCAGCACGCTGCATGGCTTTGTAGTGCTCCTCTGCATTCCTGCAGGTAATAGGCAGAGCCGAAGGGGCCCGCCGCTTTTCGTCGCTCAATATATTTCGGGGCGAAACGACAGCACGGCCGCGGCGGGCAGTCGACGCGGCCCACCCGCTGCACACGCATTCCCCGGTACTACTTCGCCGCGGGAATGGCAAGGTTGACCGGGCCCGATAGCCAACGCGCGAGCGCAAGCGAGCACGGTCTATCTGAATTTTTATGGCAACGACGGCCAACACTTTTAGTGGATCTCGAACAATGTGGAACGGCAAGTTTATGGCCGTTACCGTAACTCCTTCCCGATATTACTGTATAATATCGTATTACGTTCGCGGTCCAGGCGAATTCCTCGCCGATTCTTTCTTTCCGCGCGTAATTTCACGATTCCCCGAGCGTACCGTTTTCCGCGCGGCTCTTCGTTCCTCGGTCGGTGAGTTACGTAACGACGTCAGCGAAGTTTTCACGGTGAATCATTTCGACGATTTTATTGATACCGTTCCCGTGTTACCGCGAATTCTTTGGATGGAGTTAGTCTATATGACTTGGGCTTCGGAATTTTGGAATGTGAAGATTTTCAAATTAAATTTCGAATTTCGTTGCGTTTTCTTGGGAGTAATACAGTTCTTAATATTATAAATAGATTGAAGGTTTATTCGAATACACTTTCTCTTGTAAAGAAGTTTGAAGAAAGAGAAATTCAGTTTAATTCTATTTTCTACCCTGAGTAGATACAGAATTTGGTCAAAACTTGAACAAGAGCGGTTAGGAACGCCTTCGTAATTTTCCTGTAAGTTTACTTTACGGTTTAAAGCGTAAATTAGTGTCGAGTCGTTACTTGTTAAATCAACTCTGCAATAAGATCGAAAGTTTCCTCATACTGTAACTACATAGACTTTCGCAGCGTTTTGCGGGTCTAATTTGTGCAATGTTCAGAATCCACAGTCATCCATCCCACGAATGGAATCAACAGACACCGTTTTAGAACTGACCAGCATGTATTTGTACGCTGAATGAATGAGTCAGCTGGAGACTCGCCGTCCGATCGCGGCGATTTATTATTGGCAAACGTACATTTCCACGCGTCTTCTTCATTCCACCCGGATGAAAATATCGTGCACAGTTTTATCTGATTTTTTTTTTGGATTTGTTTCGTTTCCGATGCCGACGTGTTTACGAACCAAGATCTTACACTCCGGATGATAGAAGATGACGGGTATACAGCGGCTTGAGTGTAACTGTACGATTGGATCAGACTTGCATACCAGCGAGTACAATCTATGATCTACTTCGAGATGCGAGCACGTCGATTTCCACAGGTGTCTAATTAATAGTTCACAACAGTGGATCAACGTCATCGAGCATTAATATCTTCTTCCATGGTTCAACTACTCGCGCTATTATCTTAATTAAAAATCATTTCGGTTTAACCGTATTATCTAGCCGATCGACCTAGAAATACCTCGCGTATAGTCCATCGCACTCTTCATTCATGAATTCGCGAGTATTTGTATCGAGTGAGTTCATTCTTCGGATTTCACTTTCCATTTATGAAAATTAATATTTATAACTACATTCGAAACGGAACTAATTTGTTTGGAATTTTTCAAACATAGGAGAAACAAGTAATATGCATTTATAAAATATTCGACTATATAAAACATAGTGGAAACAGTGTAAGAAAGTTTTCTTGATGAAAAAACTTCTACATTAATTTTAATATATCAAAATTCTTAATAGAATAAATAAATATCTGTTTAAACTAAATCAACCTTGCAAAGTTTCTCTAAAACTGGTTCGAGGTATGAAAATTCTGTCAAAGTACAAGAAGAAAAAAGAGAAGCTATAAATCAAATACACTGAAACACTTCAAAAAATTTAATTCACCGACTGCATGCATTAAAGTCACCCTAATCGCATCGAACATCCAAACCTAACTCACTACTCGACTACTTCAAAGTGACCGATCATACGAAAAACATCAAACAGGGATCGAGAATAATCGAAAGCGTGGCGAATAAATATCAAACGCAAGCTCAAATCCGAGGCAACGTGAGACGGTGCCACGGGTGAAATCGCCGCGAAGCGTGTCCTCATGTAGCGGTGTTCGAGACGCAGAATCTCCTGGACAGTGACGGACTTACCTCGCCGACACGGAGCGCCACCAGGGCCAGGCACAGTACCGACACAAGCGCACTGGCGAACGCGTGAATATTGCTCGTCCCAGCTGACATTTTCGGCGGCGGAGTTGCGTGCCAACGTACGACCGAGCCGGGGGTTGCCTGTACCGCGGTTCTGATGGATCTAATGCGGCGCCGGGTGTCCTCACGTCACATTTTCGTTACTTAACGAGAATAGTCGCATCGTACACGTCGATGGAAACACGGGTCGGCACGGGATCGACGCACGCCTCGTTTCGTTGGCGGCCACGCGGTTTACTTTCCAGGCGGTCGCCGCGGCGAAGGTCGTTCGTTCTCGGCCGGAATCTCGTGACGATCTCGCGGAAACTCGATCGTTCGTCGTGGAGAACTGGAGGCGAATGTTATACTGGCGCAATAATGACTGTTCCTCCTGTACTGCCCCCAGGGACGCTCAGGTGTTCAGCATTTTGGGTGGGGATAGATCGTGGCCGCGCGGCGGCCATTCCCTTTTCATCCGATGTGTATGCGATCCACGCATTCAAGTCTCTCTACCCAAGAGCCGAGCGATGAGCACCGGACTGCACGGTATGCGCCGCCGCTGCTCGAGGTCAGCACTGTGCACGCTGCTTCCTTTCGCCCGCGTTGCCTGCCTTATCGACGGATCTCATGGATCCCTGAACCTTCCGGAACGTTCGTCGGAATGGTTCCCGAGGTGCGCTCCGCTGGACGGTGACCCTAATTCGCGAACCTTCACGGTTTTCTCGATTGAGAAAAGCTCTCGAAGCGTCGCTCTGCGGATTTATTGAACGTTCGGCTAGAATTCACGGGAACGTGGTTCATTCGAATTTTGAGTCGACTAGGTCAGGAAGGGCTGCTGCGAGAAGCTGGGGGTGGATATCGACTCGTAAGACGACTCATCCGCTTTAAGGTTTAAACGGCTGGATCTTCGGGGAGATTACGGGAGACGGAAAATTGAATTCAAGCACAGATTTGTTTGTTTTTATTCGAATTGTTATTGAGCAATTTTAGTGTTTAAGGAAGTTGTAATGAAATATGTATATTTAGAAGTGTATAGGTTTATACTTATTTATTGCACGGTTTCTTCCCAATTAATCTGATAGGTTGTCTCGTGAGTTAGTTAGGAAATGAGATCCTCTTAAGATATTGTGGGAGTTGGCGTACTTTGGTAAAGGCTTATAATTATGAGAGACAAACGATTGAACGGATATTGATTGAATGGAGATTGCGGAGTTACTGGATTGTCGATAGTCGCGATGCTTTGCGGAGGTATTGTCGATGCATCTCTTAAGTTGTCACAATGCAGACAATGGCGGACGTCGGAGACAATAGGAAGCTTATAAGATCATTCATGGATGACGTGCGAACCATTCATGACAATGATGCACCGATATCTTTACGCAGCAATGACTTAAATGCCGGATGTCGGCATTCCTGCAGTGTATTTACACTGATGTCACGGAAGACTTGACTAATGGCAACATCATGTAAAAGAATGGTGAAAAAGAAAGTACATACAATAAGGAAAATACATATGCAGGGTGTTGCCTTTAACGCGACGCACGATTTTTACCCCTTGCAGCCATCTGAAAAAAATAGTTTAGAACAAGAGTTGCAGGGCATGGAGTGTACAATAAATATCAGTAAAAAATATTTTTAAAGCAGTTTTTTCTTATGTCGAAATCGAGATCACCTTGAGTTTTACAAATAGATAACAATAGTGTACAACATCGAAGCATCGTTAAACTGAAGAGTCGTTATAATCCAATATTTGATTTTAATCACTACGAATTTGTTCATAAGTTTGAATAACACATTAATTTTCTGCCATTAATATTCGACCGTTAAAATAAACATACTCTCGCGACGAACATAAACCTCCATCTTTTTGTCGAGTTATTAACGATGAGTAATTCCATTGAACGCGATATCATAATCCAAGGGATCGATATGCAATTTAAAATCGATCGAGATAGAACCGAAGAAGCTAAATTAAATATCGCGTAAGGACGCGGTTCAGCGCGTTTATTAATTCAACGAGAACCTGCTGAATAATAAGTGTATGAATATAAATTTCTCGGGAACCGGAATAATTTTTCCCGGTAACCGAGTCCCAGCCGCCCGGTGTCGAGTGGTCATTGAATGGTCCTCGAGGGAAGACGGTGGCACGCCGGTGAAAATAAAAGTAACTCACGTTGAAAAAGAGTCACTCGTGATTCATACCCTCTCTTACGTAACGAGCGGAGAAGCGAGTACGACTGACGTGAGACTCGGGGAACGTAATCTTAATGAAACTCCACCGGCTCGCGCATCCTTTGAACGATCTTATCCCGGAAAAACGTTGCTGACCCAGTTTCCCACAGAACACAGCAGACAGAAAACGCTCGCCAGCCACGTTTCTCCAACAAGAAAAAACGGGGGAAAACAATTAGAAAGAAAAACAAGGAACGCATAAAATCACGCTTAAAAGCAACGCCGTGGAAATGCAGGGAAGGGATTAATCGCGGTATATATTAATCTCATTGTGCCGGTCCCAGGTTTAATTCCGTAAGGCCGACTGCCGGAGACAAAGAAATTTGATTTCCACGGCGTTCCGCGTTTCGCGTCCTTTTCCGCGGTTCCCAACTGCGCGGAGCGGCTCGCGCGCGTGAGACTGGCACAGCCACCGGACAATGAGGAACTCTATCTCCCGAAAGATTTCAAAGTATGATTTCCATAGCCACAAAAGCTCGGCGTCAGAGGAGGCTGCTGCGAATATCTGGGTCGTCGCATTAATTCTTTCACGCGTGCTCGGGATGGCTGGCTAGAACAACACCGACCATTAAAATTATTACACCGTCGAAAAATAAAAAAAACCGGCTTTACGGCTGGCTTCGGCTATAAAAATAGTCTGCCTAGGGACCATTACCGATTACGAGCGACCCTATCGAAACGACTACGGATAGTTTGAGTCAGCCGCGCCACCCGGCCGGGCGAAGTGGCAGGCAGGAGCCGGCTCGATGCAGGGAGGCAATAGCGTTGTAACCTGACGTTTCATCTTCAGTCGGCCAGCAGGTGGAGCGTGTTTGACGCGCATCGAGCGACGTCAACCCTGTACAAACACCAGGGCCGAGACCAGGCATATCGGGGAAACACTGGGGCTCGTCCCTTTTCCTCGCTTCCCCTGCCGCCCTCTCGTTCCCTTTCTCCGTTGTCGTTAGCTAGCCGGCGGGGAGCCCGTGTGGGGGATGATAAGGATGACGCACGCGCGGACCTATCGACCCGCGAACCCTCCGGGTAACACCCTCGCGATTCTCGGCTGAGGCTCACTGCTTCACCGGCAAACTAGTGGGTAGTACACGCACGCGACACAGGTGAGTACCAGCTTTAAACTATGATCTTGCGATCCGAGTGTATTCGAGGCACTGATTTATGGGTGGATCTGATGGCGGCGAGGGGCACGGTCAAGGTACTTTAACATTGTTGTGGAGGAATTTTCGTTCGGATGCCTTTTGGTGGTCTTTTTCATTCATGGTGGTAGGACCTTTGCCTCTTGGTGTCTTTTATTGCTCCGACTTCTGATGTCTTTCGTTGCTGGGATAGTGAACGGGATTGATTTTCGATTATTCGGGACGTTTTACGGATAAGTTTCGGTTGACTTCCGACCCCACCGTACGCGCCACGGCGTTTTAATTGAATAAACTTAAGAAGCTTGTGAAGTTTGATTCTTGTTCGCGATTTACGGCGTGAGAGGGCTTCTCGGTTGAGTGAAAACCGTACGCCGGTCAATTGTGATCTCTCCTTGCTGGCACGCTTGTAGTCTCGGTTTCGGTTTAAATTTACGCGGGAGTATGGAAAGTTAGTGGCACTATGTTGATCGATGGAGACGAGGCTCTAGCCTGCGCGGCACACCGACCGACGATGAGTGATTGCTTCACGCGGGTTCGCATGTCGTTTTCACGTGACCGTTACGGCTTTGGGATTTTTATTCTCGTGCCGCTCGGATTCCTCATACCTTCGTATTAGACGTTGCAAATTCATTAGTGGTGATTGGCTAATTGCATATGGTTATTCTCGGATTCCGTCGGGATAGTACATCGTTGACTATCTTCGAGATATTTTGTTAGCAGATTGCTTCAAAAATAATGCAAAATAAATGATAAACTTGAACGGAGTGAAAGGGGATATATAGGAGCAGTTCAAAATGACAGGTATTCTACGTTACATTAATCGAAAGCAAGAATAATTTCAAACGTTTTTCGTTCCACCGTTATTATAGTACATTCGACAAATCGCGGCTAGTGTTTTCTGTGTGCGCAGCATTGGGGCGGTCATTGCGCCTGTCCTTTCCTAACACCTAGTAACTCTTCCATCATCGATTATTACTAAAGTCTAAGCCGAACGCCCTGTAGAACGCGTGGGTGATTTGCTTGTCTAGTAACTTTATCACACGACTAACATCTATTCACTCGTTTTCATTTTCGACTTCGTTCGTGAAAATTGGAAAAAAAAGAATTGTACAAAATCAATAAAAAAATAAAGTCTACATTTCAAAGAATGTTAATCGAATTCGGGGTGTACTCGTCGAATTTGAATAATTTAATATTTCAAAAAAAGGGGTGTGTCACAGTTGATTTAAATACCCCCTACCCGTCACGTTCGTGTATCGCTGTCGTCAGTTTGTAGTGCCGGAGCTTTATTAAAATTAGAAATAACCATCGATCTTCGTTAATCGATCAGTATCGAGTTTCGCGGGTATCGCTTACGCCGTTGCGGACGTGCGCCGGGTCTTATGATAAACGTTCCACGAGCCGAGAAAAGCTCGTCGCGAAGAATTACGTAAGAGCCGGCCGACGGGAGGAATCGCGAGTAACTTCCAGCGGAAGTTGAAATTCGTGGGAACTCATTTGAAATTCAATCGAGTTCGAGGTTTCGAAATTAATTGAACAGAGACAGCTCGCCGAGGAGCGACACGCCGCGTGGAACCGCGTTAATTTAAAGTTCGCCGCTCCTCTCTTCAGGAAACGCCTTCAATAACGAGACTGCGAAAGAAATTCCAAGTTCCCGAGGAATCGTTAACTCGCTTTTAACTTCTGAACCGGGCGAACTTTCCGTGAAGTTCATTCGTGCATAACTTCTTCCGCATTAGTCGGCTCAGAACGATCCTGTAGTCACGAAGCGATCGCGTGTGCCGTCGATGGAGAAAAATTGCAAAGCTGTGAACCGCATGCGACTAGAAAAATGCTCTCGGGCGTGCAAATTGTTGCCCCGGGCCGCGAACGTTTCACGGAAACAATTAGCTCTTGTTCCGGTAACCTCTCGTTATCGTTTTTCTTTATCGCGGTTCGATAATCGGGGCCGGGACCGAAATCGGTGCTCGAGCGAGGAAAAAACACGCCGGGTCGCGCGAAAATCCTCCAGCGTGCACCGGCATGCTGCGCCGCTATCGATCAGCTTGGGGATATCAAGCTCCACTTTTGCCCGTGCTAAATTTCTGCGAGAGGTCTTCATTTCGCGTGCATAAAGAATACGCCGGGGACATTTTTATCATGGACTGGAGGGCGCCTCTTGTGAGAGATGTTTGCTGCTATCTTTCGTCGGCTTGAATGCCGGCCGTGGGGGCTTATGAAAGAGAATAGGGTGCCTCGGAGACACGGTTCTGGAGTAACGTTTTGCTGCTGGGGGTGTTTCAACCCTGTCACGTCGGGGGAATATTAAGGGCAAGATTTCCGCGTAAAGGAAATTTAATCTTATAATGGGCTTGTGATTCTATTACAGAGATTCGTGTGGTTAAGCTAAACACGAGCAGAGTGGGAATAGTATGCGTTGTGTGCGAGTAGTCGTTTCGAAGTAGTCTTGACGCTAGGTTTACGGAAAGTGGTAATTCAACGCTTATTGAATTTTATAAACATCATTAGATAAACGTTTACGTTGACGTTGATTGATACAAAAATATGCAATCGTCTACTTTTAAACCACTAATTTCCTAGATTAAATGAAGGAACATCAATTTCTCTAAATAATAAAACTACGTGTATAATAAATCTAAACCTACCGTTAATGTTTGAGAAACATTTGCTAAATCAATTCACTGCGAATAGCAAACAGTATTATCCAGACGGAAATTAAAACTGAAGCGAAGAAATTAACGAAGTCTGGTCTTTCTCCTTTCAGATTTCAACTTGGATTGTTTAGTTTCTCCTTCCTCACCTCTCTTATTTCATCCTTTCCTTTCGGATTATCTTACGTTGAAGTTTCTTCCGCAACTGAAAGACAAAGAGAAACGCAAACATCGAACCGGCGGATCATCGAACGAGAGCGAATCCGAGCGAGCCATCGGGCAACCCTTGCCGAGCGATTCGTCTCTGCCGAAAAGGGGCTGGTGAGAAGTTCGCGACCGCGAACGTTGAGGAACCGAGACCAGAAAACCGGGGGCCCGCGTTTGGAAGACGAAGTCTGCGTTAACCAGCAAGATTACCGGCCGCGGCGGTTGCGCCAAATATTGTGGTACAGCTCCATCACCCGGCAACATTTCATTCTCCAGCTTTCGGCAGTCCTTCACCTCAAATGTTAACTACCTGAAACGGAGGTGAGTGCCATTCGCAAGGATCGCGACCGCTAGACATTGCATGCGCAACCCGCACTCGCTCGATGGAATCCGCGGAACGTTCCCAGCTATCTGTCTTCTCTCTCGGGCGCACCGCAGACCGGAGAAACTCGGAAGCGTGCGGCGGCTCGAGATTCACCGCGATATGAACGCTTTTCTCCGGGCGATCTGTATCGGTCGGGCATTTCGAGAATTCCTGCGATCCGCGGGTTGCCGGTGAATTTTGTATCCGTTATTGCTCCGCGCACATCGCATTAGGAAATCGTTTTATTACTCGCGGTATTCGAGCTCGATACACCGTTCGCGGGGTGTAAATTTTATGGAGGGATAAAACTCGCGGAACACATCAGGTAGTGATAAGGAATTTACTATTCTATTAACTACGCGAGGATGAAGGCACTTGTTGATATTTTGTTCGGATATTTGAAATGCTAGGCGATAAAGGATAGGGTCTATCCTAGGTGAATTCTGAAGGTGTATAGTATAAGTTAATTATTTCATGACACACTGATAATAGCGAGTTATTTTCGTTAAGTATTATGTACTTTGTAATGGAACTACATTTTAGAAGATCATTTAGGTTACATATATTGTTGATGAAGTCCCATTGAAAATACGTTGATACTTTATATATATATTATACTTTTTCATCGAATCTCTAGGCAATGCAGGATAATAATGATTTAAAGTGATAAACGGCTACCTTGATTCAAAGTTAATTTAATAGACGAGTATATCGTGAGCTGCGACGCGATATAATATACAGGTCGATAAATTGCTCGTTCAATTAATCGAGGCGGTTATCTGATTCTTCCGTTCAGCAATAATTAATAGCATTATCAGAGTTTCGCGAGCGGCGAGTGACAGGCTAGTGACTTTAATTTATAGCTGCATTTTATTGAAACGATAACTTTTAACCGGTTCCCGAAACGGAGAGGAAAAAAACTATGAGATATTCGAGCAATTATTTCTCGACGTAATTATGCATGCGACTGTTTCAAAATTCGCTTTCGATATCATTCAATTTCCGCCTGAAGCTCGATATTTTTTAATATTCATGTCATTTACAGATGAAGCACGAATATAATATCATTACTGACAAGTGTTGCACAGCGTTCAGTTCAATATTCGGTCTGAATTATGATGTAATAGCGAAGCTTACTAAATGCATTCCGATGTCGTCGTTCTCAATTATTGTACAAGTTATAATGTAACGTAAATTGCTGACGAAAAGCTTGGAATCCTGCTTCACGTTTCGTTATTAAAGGAACAAAGTTAATTTATTCTCAATCACTCGAAATATCTCACTTCAACTTAACAATTGAAAGATTCACGGCAATCTTCTTGCCATTACATACTTTTCAAATGGAAATCAATTTTCCGTCCCCTCTTTCCAATCAAATCTACATCTCAATCAACTGCGAATACTCGAGAGAAAATTCTTTTGCAAGGCATTCATTCAACAGAAATCGGCAATCGATTCCGCATTTACGATTCAGCAACGTACGCCGCCACGCATACACTCAACAATCTCGCTAGGTGAAGCATCGTCTGCTGCTTAACGACGCACGAGCGATTGTCGACCCTCATTTCGCGCGTAGCATCGCAAGCGATCTGTCCGTCACTAAAACCCCAAAAAAAGAAGATTGCGACAGGTTCACGCATCAGAACCGAGAATGTGTGTCGCCACCCATCACGCATGCAAGCCAGCAAGCAATCGGTAAATCGTCCATCATCTCAGATGCCATCCATATTGCCATTCATCCCCCAAGCACCTGGCTGTTCGATGTGCAGTTTTGAACGTCTGTCCACGTAAAGCCAAAGAAATACTAAACGATATCGTGAAACAACGGGACGTGTCGGACCGATTGTCACTATCACGACCACCACCATAGTTTGTCTTCCAGGTTCTCGTCAGGGGATTTGAGCTCGGAGCTCGACGATGAACCAAGCACCGACTCCGGGCTGGCCTCCATGGCCAGGGATTCGTCCCAATCGTATCAAGCAGTGCCGGAAAGGCCGTTGCAGTCACAGCCGACCCCTGTACCGCCAGCCAGCCAGCCACCGGTGCCAGGCGCACCGCCTACCAGGCCAACCCAACCCGTCGGCGGCGATCTAAGCCTCAACCTGAGGCCCGGCTCGAAGACTACTAGCGCCCCGTCGTCGCCGGCGAAAACCCGGGAAAGCTTGCTCCAGAGGGTTCAAAGCTTGACCGGGGCTGCTCGCGACCAGGTACTTGAAAATTATGTTAACAGCGCCGACGTTTATCGTGGAAGGTTTATAGGTCTTTTAATTTTAGTACTAGTGAATCGTGCTAAAGTAGCTTCGAGTAAAAAGTACTGGTTGCTTTATATTTCATAAGGATAATTAATGAAGTCTTCTAGATGGTACAAGCAATGTTACGAAATGATTCAAGCAATCTTCATTTATATAGGAATCTCTTGATATTTGGATAGGTTTGTGCGGTTTCGTTTATAGAATTGAATTTCTATTGAATTGTTGAGTTGAAGGTAACTTGGTAATTTCATTTTGATTCTTCTAGTATAGGAAATCTTTGATCCCCGGTAGGTGAAGAGTAATTTAGCGACTTAATTAACCTCTGTCTGAATTAATGTTTAGGGTGCGTCTATTCTGGGAGCGGCAGTGTCTGGCGCGACGAGAGGCCCGTCTTACAACAAAGATCGATGTTTCATTCTCCTGGTGATCGACGATCAAAACACCGACTGGAGCAAGTACTTCCGGGGCCGCAGACTCCATGGCGATTATGAGATCCGCGTGGAACAAGCGGAGTTTCGGGAATTGTCGCTGACAGCGAGCGAGGCTGGCACTGTGGTCTCTATGGCAGTTTATCGTAACGGGACCAAAGTCATCAGGTAAGGTCACATTTCATATATTTCCATCTTTCGTTTCGCTTGGTATGAACATGTAATTAAATTACATGTTTCTTTTGTTAGATCCTTCAAACCTGACTTTGTCCTGATACGACAGAACTTGAAGGACGCAGGGGAAGACTACAAGAATCTCCTTCTCGGTTTGATGTACGGCGGTGTCCCGAGTATTAACAATCTTACTGCAATTTACAACTTCCAGGTGAACAGTAGTTCAAGCATTGATTATCTCTGTCTCTAAACTACAAAGCTTGTCTATCACAAATGAAGTTATTTACTTACAACGTACTACAATAATATGAAATTATCTGTTAGAAACAACGAAGGAATTCGCTAAACTGTATCGTGAATCAATGTTGCCAATTATATCTACTGATATTAATATTGTTTCCCTTCGTAGGATAAACCATGGGTGTTCGCGCACCTCGTGGGACTCCAGCGTCGACTGGGAAAAGAAAACTTCCCCCTGATCGAGCAGACGTACTACCCTAACCACCGTGAAATGGTGAGTGAAAAGAAACTTACATTCTATCCGACAGAACGAACGATGATGCGTTTTCTCCTTTATTTCTCATCGTTCAAGTAATACATAATACTTACAAAAGTTATCAAATGGAAGAAACTAAACTAAAATACATAGTCTCGACTTAACGTACATACCGTTCACGTGCTAGGAAAATGCCAACTGACTCCCTTCGTGTCGCGCGTTTAGCATTTTGTACTAAATTTCTACACCCCGGATTGCAGGGTTCCGTTTCTCGCCGAGAAACGAACGATCACGCTTAGATCCAGTTTACAAATAGGGAACTTAACTGATCACGCCTACTAATACGCGTCCCTCGCACACTCTCTGAATAATCAGACAACGTATCCTTTCCACATCAGGGAAAAACTAAGAACATAACGAAAGAAACGCGATTTCGTAACGAAAAGGAACGGTGATTTTCATAATTCATTCGCAATTCCATCGAGAACTTTCAAGACATATGAATCGATTATTTCGTCGTTTCCGTATTCAGAGATCCGCGCGATACTCTAATAAAGAATCGAATACCTTTCAGCTCAATTTCTTATACACACACGACCAGGGTACGTAAGATAAGAATAATTTATAAAATGCATAATATACATTAACAGCCTATATGTACAACTAAAGGTATATAGCCAATCGATGTCGAATATGCTCAAGCTTCACTCTTTCAACATTTTTGCGCGGGTTATGGCCGATTTGAATTGCGGATCCGTCCCGGCCGAATTGTTTAATTAAACGTAACGAGGCCGGCAGCGTCGGTTTCAATGAGAAAATTAAAAGCTTCAACGAAGGTATTTACCGACGGGGGCTCCCTCATGAATTATTCTTTTCGATTTGCCAGGTGCATCGAATATCGCTTCCTCCGGTTCTCCTCCCGTCCCCGGTAATTCAAGCGTTTCAACCGGACAAAATGCATGGAACGGATAAACGATTTAAAATTATATAATTGAACGCGGTGCTTTGACAACGCGATGCGCCTTGGAACATTCAGAGGTTCGTCGAGCGACTGCAGACAGTCTCAAGCTTTTCTCAGAGAATTACGATATATACACAGCTGCTCAGAGGTTACGCACTTCTTTTAAACATGAAAACATTCCCCGAATAAATCAATGTTTTGACATTTAATACTAACTGAATTGGTGACATCAAAAACTATTGTAAGTCATTGTCATTCAATTTGTCAACAATAAGAAAAAATAATTGTCCACGTGTTCAAAGAGAAAGAACATCGACTTCAGTTCCGGTGTCACCGATTCAATCAGAAGATATAATAACGCGTATATTTTCTAAAAGAAAAAAGTGATACAATAAAGAAAATCTAGTATTAAGCTCAAAATTTTCGAACAACGTGCTTCAGACTTGCCCGCAGCAGTGTTGTCGATCGTTGAATCGACGTTGCCACCCCGTATTTATCGACGAACGGCTTTTGTACTCGCTGACACAACCTTCCAATTAATACTTTTGGTAAAACGCGAGAATAAATAGTACGTGACGCGATACAGAGGATGAAAACGCGAATAGTCAACAAAACTAACGCTACGGTTCTGGAATAAATAAATACATCCCGATCCACTTGGCAACAAGTTCTTTCTTCCGAACGGTTATTAATCGAACTCGGGGACGTCTGGTTTTATTCTTTCCGGGTGCGCGATCTGCAGCAGCCCTCTTCTTTCCGACTGATCACCGAGCGCGTTGTCGTTGTGCGAAATGGGCTTAGTGTGGTTTTGTTGCTCCCGTTTCCGCTGGTGCTCCTTGATGCACTCGTTGTAAGGCACTGACGGAACCCAGGAGCATCCACCTGGTCTAGCAAGGCATATTCCGTATTTTTCTTGGCATTTCTTCGGTCCCGGCTCGCTCTCCCATAAACATCGCTTCCTTCCGCCGTTTTCCAGATCCTCGCCTTTCCGCCACCACGGTGTGTAAGCCACCTGGTACACAAAGAACAGCGGAAATCAGTACGAAAAATAAAATTCCACTTGAACTTACGATTGAACGAAAATTAATAATGTATTCGTAAGTTTTAGACGTTAAGCATTCATTCTTACGGATGCCAAATCTATTTAGATTAAATAATTAAATGTCGTACCCCTATGATAGTTGAAGCTATTCAGCTTTCATACGCGATCTTTTCTCTTTGGATTACTTTTAAATTAAGTTATTAGTTCGAAAATGAAATAAACATATTCTATTCATGCAAGAAGTACAAATACCACGACTGTTTATACTCGAAACAAAGAATTGATCGCCAGTTTGGAAAGCTAAATCGGCAATCGTCAACAGAAATATAGTTAGAGACTCTCGTTTCTCCCACATTCTTAGAAGTTCCTGGAGAACTTACGGCGCAACTGAATAATAATTTGGAGAACATAAGGTAATCCGAGAATTCCGAACTTACATCGCAGGCGCAGCCACGGTGGTAGAGTCCCCTGAATCCTCTCCGTTGTCTAGGCGGCACTTGTGACCACGGTATTGCCATTCCACAGATTGACAAATGTATCTGCCCCATCCTGATCGTACCGCCTATCACGTAGGTTTCGCTGACGTTCAAGCGAACGCCGCACAGGCTGTCGTCGGACGCGGTCCATAAAATCTCCTGCCTCGAGAAATTGACGGGATTCACGTTGCGCCATTCCTAATGAAACGTGTGATGGCGTTAGAATACGAGCACGGTCATAAAACAACATATGAAACGGCACCGGTCGTAAATATTGCGGAATTTCCATAGACATACGAACCTTGAAGACTTTATTGACTTTCACGTTGTAGGCAGTATGGTAGCCGTACACGGGGGGCTTCTCTCTTCGCACTCTCACCACAGCAACTGGAAGAACAAGTAGTGTTAAAGAAATGGAAATTCTGATTAATCCGTGGAAAGCAAGATCGGAGCTGACGTTTTGTTCGATATTTTTGGGGTATGTGGGTTAATCACGTTTGCATAGAATTTTTAATGAGGGAATATCATCGTATTCATATCAAAATTGAATAGATGGCATTAGACATGTAATTTCTTTAAATTATTCGTTGTAAATGTAAAGTAATACAGGACTACACCAGTGACAAGCAGTTATACATCTGAAAGTGACGCAGGACTGTGTCAGTGGTTGATAATGTGTTAATATATGAAAATATGCGAAAGGAGGCGGTGATTCGGCTGACAAATTGCGAACAAAGTTTTCCATTGTAAGCAATTGCTTTGCGAATCAGCTGCGACCGCCCACTGCGTCCCATGTGGGGGTGAAATATTGTGTAAGGGGATACCCAAGGGTCCTACGTCCAAGACGACACGTCAGTTGTTGATTTTATCATCAGATTGGCAGAGACAAAATGTACATCGATAAATTAACTGTTAGAGTCTGAAATTCTCTATCGATTGTTGAAGACTGAGAGAGTAGCTTCTCTAACGACATTCTTACGCAAAGTACTTACCATAATCTGAATAGCAGAACTGAGTCTGGGGGTGGTTTAACTTGCAACTGCACCCGACGACCCTCTGCACCGGAGCCAACGATAACGCGACTAGCAGGAAGTACGTCCAAAATGTTAACTGCCACATCTTGCAACAGAAAGAAACAAAATAACGTCAGTAGGGAGTCAAATAAACAAAACGTTCTACAGTAATTCATACGAATTCACATTTTGAATTTGAACATTTCAGCTGGATATAAAACAATAAGAAGAAATTGCGTCGCCATTGTTGAAGTTGCGCGTTCATTACGCAACCGTCGTTTGGCACAATGCGGTACACTACGAAACGCTCGGTCTAATAACAATAATTTCACAAAGATGCGCGCATTTGTTACCGTTACGTGACAACCCTGCTCGCGTACACAATGCGAGATAATTGAATCGTCGCGGAGCTCAGAGATACGCGAGAATTACGACGAGACAACGGGGACGTTAAACAAAATGATTCCAGGCCCGGTCAGGGGGTCCATTCATCTTCGAAATCCGATTACGCGTGTCCGAATGATTCAAGGCGGCCGTCACCTGTCGGATACTAGGAAATGTATAACTCTATTTAACGAACGCGGAACAAGCTCGTTAAGCCGAGAACGCGTGTTCCGCTCCTTTTTTTTCCTTTCCTTTCCTTCTTCCTCCTCCTCCGCCTCCTCCTCCACCACCTACTCGCAGAAAAAAAAAACTACCGGACGCGCCGCGATGAATCACGTAATCCCTAAACAACTAATTTCAATTTGTCATTGGACCCGTCTAAATCTGGTATATCTCTGGCTGCCCACCTACGGGGCTCGTTAATGCAAATTTATTCGATCCTTCGCGCGCCGATGCAGAGTAGATTCGAATTTACGTGCGAATTCTGGGAGAAGGATTGATAAACAGCTGCTAACGATGCCGTGAATAAACGGAAGATTGCGCGGACGAAAGATCCGGCTACGTTGATATCGTCGCCACGATTATTAATCCCTCCGTTCACGTGTACGAAACTACCCTCGTAAGAGCTAGTTTATTACTAACAATTTACTCTATGAAAAATAAATGTAATTCATATAGTGAGCTTATTCTAAGAAGTAAACACAGCTAGCGAAGAAACAACACTTAAGTTTGATTTCAAATGAAACGTTTCTATTCGTGAAATTTAGTTTGAAATCTTCACAGACATCTTCACTTTATATCTTTAAAGACTCTAGCTAGTTGCGTCTTGGAAGGAAGGAACGAAGAACGCTTTGGGGTTATCCAATGCTGGCGATGCCGTTTACCGAGTGAAAAGATATTTGAGATGTTTCCGTTCGCACCAATAACAAGAACCGCGGAAGTGTTCTAATCCGACCCAGTTTATCAACGTAAGCTGGACCGGATCTAAATATAGGTATAAAACGGTAACCAAAGTCGAACGCGGACCAGAAACGAGGCAGAGACGCCTAAAATACGGTATTGACGATGCGTTTCCATCGACTGCGAGAATAGTCCGGCACGGACGTGCAGTATCTAGGCGATTCTAACGGAACCTTCGACAGTCGCAGAGTTCGTGCCGGTAGCTGGACCTGGGATCGCACGAATTCTTGAATAGTGCATGAATCTCTGTCAATTCTGTTTGTCCTTAAGGCATTTCTTCGAAGCAGTTGTTACAACTAAATTTCGTTAATAATACTGGCATGCCAACTTCGAAAATAGTATACATCCTTAGAAGATCCGAGTGTATAACTGGGATACAATTGCGCACAATGATTTACATTAATCAGGAAACTAAGGAATCATGTTCTATTCGAAACGAAAAGATACAAATTCGCGATAGTAGTTAAAATTAGCAGCCGACACGTTGACCCTGTGGTCACCGATAACCGAAACTTCCAAATTACTAGGAAACAAAATGTCAAAATGTAATGTTTAGTTACTCGAGTATATACGTATATACTTATACGTATCGGTTACGATGAAAGAACTCGTTAATACTTATTTCTAACACCTTTGCCTTTGTTGGGAAGGAATAACCAATATTATACAAAACGCTCAAAACTCTCGTGGACAACGATCCCTTTCTAATCTTGAAACCTCGAGCATCATAATTCAAATCTTCCGACGTTGCGTTTCTCGGTTTGCGGATCGCTCGAGAACGCGGCTCGATCGCATTTACATGAAAAGGTGCTCGTGTAAACACTTTATCGCTGGAAACTGCCGCGGAATGCATTGTGCGTGTTAAATGATCGAGCTCGGCTTGTCAGCGGCCGGCCCGAGCGGCAACGACAGCGACGCGAGTATCGATGACAATGCATCACGCTTGAAAAGCTTCGGCCGCGAAGCGTAACGCGGGTGTCACCGGCATGTAACACGAGCACGCACGCTGGGGGCTCACGAGTTCGTGTGCGCACCCCGGTTCCGTGTAATAATCGCGCGAAATTCGCCCTCACTCCGAATTTATTCGTCCCCGTCGAACTCTGTTTTCACAAGCGACGATAAACATTCGTTTCGCGGCCGTTTCGGTAAATTTATTTCGACGGTGCGGCGTTCGGCCGGTGCCGGCAGCGCGTTCGGGCAAAGCGTGCGTTAATAATAAAGGCGATTCAACTGTATTGGAGCTCTTCGGGCTGTAAAACTGAACTGGTCGTAGACCGACGGTGATGAAATCTCGTTTCTGGCTACAGCCTGTGTATTTTACAATTCGCGTTCACGAATAGTTTCATTAAACCGCCCGACAGTTTGTAGGAGTAACTAGCGACTGCATGATACAAGGTATTTCAGATGATGCAGTAACACGCGCGTGTAATTATAGTCGGCGGAGTTTGTAATCGGTTTCGCGTTGTAAGGTATTATTAGAGTGTTCCTGGAAAAGTTCGATCGGTAGAAAAAATTCGCGAGCGTGTATCGTGCGTTTTGGAACGAAGGAAAAACACGCTGGGATGTGAGTCCTGTGTTTACGAAATCGAAGAGGCGGATTCAGCCTTGGCTACGCACGATCGTATCTTTTCCTGATCTATTTGATACCGTGGAATCGAATGGACTCTAGTTTCTTGTTTACAAACATTCGCACCTTGAGAAGGAGATCCTGAATATATTTTCTCCGGCTGCTGCGTGTGTTGCTGTATTCGCATGAAATACTGCAGGAAAGAGGAATATAAAAACATGAATCTTATGACACTTGTAAATATTCAAAACATAAATTTCGCACGGAATGATTTTGTCAGACTCGAAACGTATGCAGTATCGTGACGCCGATTTTCTGTGGTAATATCGTAACTCGAAATCGATTATTGATAATCGGAGCCTATTAAATTAGGACAAAGGAATTCAAGGATCGTTAACGTAACCACGATTGTTGTTACGAACAAAAGAATCTGCTTACATCACTTGACGATATAATTTCTCTTGGCAATATCATTGGAAAGAAACTTATTAATCTCCTTTTCAATATACCACGGATATTAAGGAGACTATTAACAGATAATCCGGTAGGCAAAGCGTTGAAGGATTAAAGTTTCTTCCGCAAGTCCCAACACGTTCACGCTGTTGGATTAAAATCACCGTTCATAATGTCCGTAGAAAAGGATTCCACAGATGAGGGGGGCAGTCCGCAACCG